CCCTACATTGATCCCCCAATGGATGGTAAATATGACATACATGGATGGTCGATGGTTTGGGCATAGATCTTCACCCCTGTACCCGGCGAAGTAGAGGCTTTCGACCGGTCTTTAAACGTGTTCGACCGGGCATTAAGTCAAGACATACGCCTAGACCCGGTCGACAAAACGACCACCGGGTGTTTGTTCAAGACGTGTTGTGGCTGAACACAGTTCCAAAACCAAGTCTTGCAGACGCAAGCCACATGGGTGTATATCAAAATAGGGAGTCCTCCCAAAGACCTCCTGGAAGAAGGAAAATAGACGCAACCCCATTGGTGGTCTTTTCTTTTTATATACACTCTGACACTTGTATTCAGTGAACTCAGTTCCCACGCTGGGAAGGAAGGTGACAGAACTGCATGGTGAAAAGTCCGAAAGACTTGTAGGTGTTTCAACAAGTTGTTGGTCAAGTCTGCTGAACGATCGGTCGGCGCGGCTCAGCTGCAAGATAAACGCGGCAAAGGGGAGGTTTTGGGGAGGTATCATGGAACCACCATGACAGCAAACCAAAGGAAGAGTGGAGTCACAGCTTGATAGAACGGCAGGTGCGCAGGGCTGATCGGGCCCTGCTTCCCACTCCCGCCCACAGCTTCGTTGCGTGTGGTAGGGCGGGAGTGCCACACGCCCCTGCCTGATTGGAGTGGTCGAAGGAAACCCTTTGTCCAGGGGTGGACACACACAAGTCGCCGGCTTCGGCGCTTTTTCAAGACACCCCCTACCGTTGAACCAGTGGACAAAAACCTTTTGCCCAGGGGTGGACACACACACAGAGCCGTTTTCGGCGCGGTCAAAGTAGTAGTAAGGCCAGGGGCCTCCAGTAGCGTCCTAACTCCCAGGGGAACATTTGTACAAAAAGCGCCAAATTGTTGGCGCAACGAAGAACTAGTAGACACCTAAAAAGCCTTAGAAAGACAGAAAAAGCAACGAAACAAGAGCAGACTAAGAGGGCAAGAAAGAAAGAAAAATAGGGTAGTTACGAGGCCCACTTAGTTAAACGAAAGTAGAAGGCGAGCGGGACATTCGTCTTAAACCGCCCGGGTAGCTAGCAATAGCTAGGAGAAACAGAAGGAAAGGCATGTGTGTTGAGTGCGATTTCCTTCTGTTTCCCGAGTAGCGGGTGGGATAGCAACGGAGGCCTCGGGATAGGGAGGGGGGGGGGGGGGGG